GTTCTCTTTCTTGCTGAATAACCTGAAGGGTTTTTCAGTGATTCTTACGACAAATGGCGTCAAGATGACTAAATGTCTTATCTGAAAACCTAGAAAAAAGAAATTCAATTAGTTTGATGTTTTTATTAGATATTAAGCATTTTGTGGGATGGCCAAATATGCTGTAACACGATTTGGACAATTTTGCTGTTAAACACGGTACATCTATCTATCTATCTATCTATCTATCTACACACACACACACACACACACACACACACACACACACACACACACATATATATATATATATATATATATATATATATAGCTACTACGAATACTATTACTACAAAAGACGATATTGCTGTGACAACCAGAAAACTTGTCAGACACCTGAGACAAGAAAAAGTCCGAACAAGGAAAATACAAAACAAGACCAAAAAGCAGACGTCTCCTTTCGCAGGAAAGTACTTGCAGCCTCTCCAGACAGAGCAAAAACGCTTTACAATGTCAGCGCTTAACAAAGGACAACTCGAGTCGTTAATCATCTTTCACCCTCTTGCCGAGAACGTTTACTTTTCGACCATAAGACCTCGAGATAGAAATCAGTATAATGTGTCATCTCAAGGCAACAAGATTGTATGTTCTTTTGGAGGCTTTCGCAATTATATTTAAAAAAAATGCAATCAAATATATTGATGAAATTCATGGGAGCACAAAATTATGGGAATTGTAAAAGAATCACTTTCATTATTTACAATATTCGGACTGTCATCCTCATCTTCATTGGCATGTTCACAACGTTTCGAATCGAACCCTTTATTTCGTCAGTAGAATGTCGGATAACACATGACCCAGTGGATAAAGGTGTTGTTTAGATCCACTGACAAGATCCAAAGAGTTGTGAGTTCAATCCCAGGCCACTGCAGTGTTGAACTTAACTTTGAAAGTTGTGTTAAAGGGTAATAACTGAGACTTCAGGAAGAGGCGTGGAACTAGAACAATCTACCCTAGTGGACAAAATAAAGGGTTCGGTGCAAAAGAATCATAATCTTGACTACTGTTCATATATTACGTAGATTTCTCTCAATGCAGCGACTAAAATCACATATTTATATGATACATCGTAAGTTTTGATCTTCCAATACACCAAAATAATTGGTCTCTTTAAATCACTGGTACTGACTTGGGGAAATCTCTTACTCCACAAAGTAAAGTAAAATAATGATAATAATAATGATAATAATAATGATAATAATAATCAAAATGGAGTTCCAAATGGGCGTAGAGATGCAACTACAGCACAATACACCGGCTGAAACTGCAAAATACCTAAAAAAGATAGCTAAGACGAATGCAATCGACCAATTACAGAAGCGATGGAAAGATAAACCGCTTCATGGCCAATACTCTGCCCGTACCAAACAAGCTGGCGTAGACAAACCCCGTACCCGTCAGTGGCTACGTAGTGCAGGGTTGAAAGCTGAAACTGAAGGATTCATCCTTGCTGCACAGGACCAATGCTTGCTAACTAGGAATTATCAAGCACATATACTAAAATATTGTGTCAGCCCAAAATGCAGATTCTGTGATAAATATCCAGAAACGATTGATCATCTTGTATCAGGTTGTACTGTGTTGGCACCCACTGAATATAAAACCCGACATGACAGAGTGGGCCAATATCTGCACTGGAAAATCTGCAACTTCTACGGGAAGAAAACTGAAAGAAACTGGTATGAACACCACCCAGACCCGGTTACGGAGATAGGACCTGTTACAATTCTATGGGATTACACAATACACACTGACAGAACAATCAAGGCCAACCGGCCAGATATTGTTATTAAAGACCACAAACAAAAACGGTGCCTCCTTATTGATATGGCAGTCCCTGCTGACTGCAATGTATCTTTGAAGATATTCAAAAAGTTGTCAAAGTACAAGGACCTTGAAATAGAAATCGCGAAAATGTGGCATATGGGAACATCAACAATCCCTGTTGTAGTTGGAGCCCTAAGACTGGTTGGAATAGATTGCAGTTGACTAATTGAAGGGATTCCTGGAAGTCCATGCCTCAAGGAGATACAAAAAATTGTTCTGACAGGTACAACCCCCACTTTACGAAGGGCTTTATCTATGTAATTTAATTTTTTTTTTTTTGTCAGTGTGTGTCCTGATGCCATTTCTAACATTAGGTCCCTGGGTGGGACCCGGAAAGAAATGTGTAAACGCCAGAAATCAAAGATAATAATAATAATAATAATAATAATATTAATAATAATAATAAGAAGAAGAAGAAGAAGAAGTCTTATTAAGTACAGCACACACACTAAGGAGAACTTTGTCTATGTAACGCTAGCAACTTCATCGGAGATAAAAAAAAAAAAAAAAAAATTAACATGAAATGTGGCCATAACAACACACCACGACCTGCCTTAGGTCTTTCCACAGACTTGGTAGGTAGTGTGTCCATAGCAGAAATCGAATGATGATGATGATGATGATAATAATAATAATGATGATGATAATAATAATAATAATAAAAACAATAATAATAATAATAATAAAAACAATCCCCTTACTCATCAATGCTTACGTTGTTCAATGTTAAAAACTGAAATCGACGGTTTTATTCTTGCTGCACAATACCAAATCTTGCAAATTACCAAAAACGCTTAAGGTAAAACTGTGTTAATCCAAAATTGCAGATTGTGTTATATATCCAGAAACAAATGACCGTCTTTTATCAGGTTGTACAGTGTTATCACCCACTGAATATAAAACTCAGCATGATAGTGTAGACCGATATCTGCACTTGAAATTAGGCAACTTTTACGGGAAGGAAACTAATATAAACATCACCCAAGTCTAATAACAGAGATAAGACCTGTAACAATTTTATGGGAATTTACAATAGACACAATCAAAGCATTTTGTTCAAATATCATGATCAAGACTACAACAACTAAATGTATTTTCTTATTGACATGGAAGTCAGTGTAGATTATAAGGCATTTTTGAAGATCTTCTAAAAACTATCAAAATACAAGTATCTTTACCTGGAAATCTAAAAAATGTGGCACGTGAGGACAACACTTAAAGCCTTCGGATTGATTGGAAACCGTTCCGATAGCTTAATGAAGAGATTCTTGGTAGCCTATGATTTAAAGAAGCCAAGGTTGAGATAGAAGGATTTATTTTACCACCAATGTCTTCCAACTAATGCCAACAAGGCTAAAATCATCAAAGACTACTTAAATCTCACCTGTTGCTTATACCATAAATTTGATGAAACTGTTGACTACAAAGTACCCTCGTTCCTAGTCCTTGCTTAGAAAAAATACATGATTAGACATGACATTCATTGGTGTGTCTGTCTGAAACGTGGTATTGATGTCTCGGATACATGGGGCAAACACCACCCGAATGATGTCATAAATGGTGAGGGAGTGACTATATTGTGGAATGTACCAATCTTCACAGAAGAAACACTGATGGAAATAAATGAGACATAGTCATAAAAGATTTCAAAATAGTAAACTGTCAACTAACATATAATACTTGCCCACGGGATCCCAATGTTTCTGAAAGAGAATTTCAAAAATAAACATCTGCAAATCCAAAGAACAAAAATGTGGAAAATTAAAACTATGATTATTACTTTTGGGATAGGGACATTATGAAGAAAGATATTGAACATCATGTAAGCAAAATTCCTGGATATATCAGCACCCCAGAGCTACAAAAGATTATTTGTGCGGAACTGCACATGCCATAAGCAGAACTCTATCCTTCTAAACGATGTCGCAAATATATACCTAGAATAAATAACTCTCTTACGGTGTTTTTGTACCTACAGACCCCGGAGGGGACTTGATAATTAGGCTCTTAAAATTACTCTCTGGGAAAATGATACAAATAATAATAATAATAATAATAATAATAATAATAATAATGTTCATGATGATGATGATAACTGCCTAGAAATCAGCTGCTATCAAACCAGGCGTAATGTTGCCTTTTAGAAATAGTTTTTTTTTTTCTGTCATGTTTTTTTTCTGCTCTTGTATACTCCCATCGCATGAGCGAATGTTGTCGCTTAATAGCAAAATGTAATGATGCCTGAAACTTTTGAAATGGGTACAAACCAATGGGTGGGTCTCTCACACTTCATACTCCAATTCCATCAACAACCGTATATAATACTTGAAAAAAATGTACAGAAAATTATTTATTCTGTAATGCAAAATATTATAGAAAAATATTTTTTATAACGTCATACAAAATACTGACTGCCGAAAGCATATTAAAAAAAGTTCTTTTTTAGAGGTGTCAATGACTGTCTGATGACACGACCAATTTTACACAGCTGGTTAAAACGGCAACTGGAGAAATTTTTACTGCTTTGAACAGCAGTTTTTTTTTTCTTTTTAAGTAGTAATGCCATTATCAGATGACACTCGACTGTCTTCACAATAGTCACAGAAAGGATTGTAATAGTAGTATTAATAGTAGTTATTATGGCCGTGGTAGCTTTAAAAGTAAAGAGAAATTGTAGTGTTAGTATACGTATTATAGTAGCAGTAGCATTTGTTATACAAGCAGTACTGATGCATACTTGTGATAGGTTTATAAAGTAGAACACACATCGTTAGAAGTTTGGGGACTCCCAGCGCAGCAGTCGGGCAAGTCTCGTCTATGTAGGCCATCTCATGTGAATGTGAACTGAGGAAGAAAGACAACGAGAGTTGGTTTGTTTTGAGTTGTAAAGGCATGTTTCGTGTTTATTGTTGCCGTCTGTTTCCTTGCGCGCTAAAGTACGTCTGCCCTGAAAAAAACAAAAAACAAAAAAACACACACACACAAACAAACAAAAAACGCATATTAAAAGCAATGAAACGACAGCTACCCTAGATTAAAAGAAATGAAAGATGAAAAGTAAAGAGAAGTCTATTTTTTTATGATGAAGGGATGAATAAATTAATGAATGAAGGTTGGTGATTCCTGGAAAGGAACTAAGGGTGAGAGGAAAGAGGAATACAAAGAAAGTGAACAAAAAAGAAATAAAGAAAAAAGAAAGAAAGGAAGAAAGAAAGCAAGAAAGAAAGAAGGGACGCTAAAGGAAATGATAAAAGGAAAAAAATGAAATGAAAGAAAAGAATGGAAAAGATATCTAACGGAAAATGATAAAAAAGAAAGAAAAAGAAAATTGAAAGAAAAAAGAAAGAAAATAAACAAAATGAAAAGGACGAAATGAAAAAAGAAAAATAAGAAAGGAAGAAAATAAACAAAATGAAAAGGGTGAAAAGAAAGAAAAAGGAAAGGAAAAAAATAAACAAAATGAGAAGGATGAAAAGAAAAACGAAAGAAAATAAATAAAATGAAAATAGTGAACAGAAAGAAAAATAGAAATAAAAGAAGGAAAGAAAGATAGCTAAAATAAAATAATTTAAAAAATTAAGAGAATCAGAAATGAAAGAAAAAAGAATGAAAGAAATTAAAATGAAAATAATGAAAAGGAAGAAAAATCGAAATGAAAAACGCAAAGAAACAAAAACAAAATGAAAAGGATGAAAAAAAAAGAGAAATGAAAGAGAAAAAAAAAGAAAGACAAAATTAAAATGATGAAAAAGGAAACAATTAGAAATGTAAAAAAGAAAGATATCCAAGCGAAAATGATTAAAAACTAAATAGAAAGGAAAGTAAGAAAAGTAATGAAAATGATAGAAAAGAAAGAAAAAGCCATGAAAAAAAAAGAGTAATAATGAAAGGGAGAATACAAAAGCAAAATTTTAAACCGAAGAAAGAAAGAAAGAAAGAAAATGATAGGAAAGAAAAAAGAAGATTAATAAAATAAATGAATAACAATTGATGAAATGTAAACGAAAACAGCGGGATTAATGAAGAATTCAAAAAGAAAAAAAAATATTTAAGCAAAAGAAACACAAATGAAATCAAAATGAATATATTTATAAATATATTTTTAAAAATCTATTAAATGTAGAAAAATAAGGAAGAACGATTGTAATCAAGTCCAAATTATTTTTTTTAAACATGTCACCCCAATCCAGGCAATAAAGCCACTAAGACACAATGAGGTTATGATTGTTACAGAATATGAAATAAAACACTATTACGGTGATATAATAAAAGAACAAGAATTAAGAAGAAATGAGATAACAATAGACATTGCATTTAAATTTTGGAAGATTATCCTTGATTTGGAAGCAAGAAGCCAAAAGCAAGTTCCAAAAGCGAGAAATGTGAGTGAAAAAACTCTTCGCATAGGCATTATGGTTACATTAAGCCATTTAATCTGTAATATGAAGGCGCCTTTGCTGCCAATCTTTTACTGCAGTTAAATTCGTAAAGTCTAGGTACGATATAGGAAATTTCATCAATAACCATGAAAGTATTTATAGAAAGGGCACAAGGAAGGTACATTACGGCGGTGGAGAAGGGACTGAAGCCGCGATGCCAGGTCAGGACTAAATAATATTGCAGATTTTTCTTAGAATTGTATCACAGATACCTAGATATATAAACAGTCCGGGGTATGAAGATAAACTACATCCATGTCTTAGGTATGACGATAAAATACATCCGTGTCCTTGGTATGACGATAAAATACATTCACATCCTTGGTATGACGATAAAATACATCCACATCCTGGGTATTACGATAAACTACATCCATGTCCTAGGTATGACGATACACTACATCCGTTTCCTAGATATGACGATAAACTACATCCAGATCCTGAGTATGACGATAAACTACATCCACGTCCTGGGTATGACGATAAACTACATCCACGTCCTGGGTATGACGATTAACTACATCCGAGTCCTTGGTATGAAGATAAACTACATCCGCGTCCAGGTTAAGACGATAAACTACGTCCAACAGCAATGCCTCTTATCAGGAGGCTTTGAGGAGCGTGGAACCGTCTCTAAATTGCTGGTGTTCCAAGGTCCACCCTCACCCGGGGTGGTAACACTTGTTAGGGTCCCAGCTATGGTCAAATAGTTAATCCCGAAACTGAGGTAAAAAGCATTATGAAAGTATAAAAATAGGTTTTAATATCAGAAAAAACTTTGTAAAATATTATTACCAGAAATAATTTTTTGAAGAAAAAAAAACTATTAACAGCAATGCGTTTAAAAAAAAATTACCAACAATACATTTTTAAAATAATATTAACAGCTAAAATGATATTACCCTTTTGAGGACAAAAATATTATCAGAAATAGATGCTTGACAAAGCAAAATATTACCAGGAAATAAAAGTTGTCGGCATTAAATGACCCATTGAGGTTGATATGCCGTAAAACAAAACAAACCAAACCAGAGATATAAAAGGAGCATCAGACCAAATGTGGGAGCAATATTCAAAGCGAGGGCGAATGATAGACTTATGAATATGTATTTATATATATAAAAGAGAAAAACGCTGATAGATAATCACACAGAGAGTAAGCAAATGACAAAATCGAAAAATTATTAAGTGATTCATTTTGTTCAAGAATGGAATTTCTTCAGACAAATAATAATGTCGATAGAATTAGTCTTGCATATTTTGTATATAAATACAAGGAAGTCCGATTACAATTTTACATCAGAAACATTAATGGCACACAGCGATCCAGTATACATCTCCTATATATATCTTCCAGAAATACCTCCTACATAATGGTAAGATTTTAGTTTGATGAAGATACCATTGCTACTGATGTCTTAGCATTATCTGGCACGCATTTCTTGGAGGTATTTCTGGGAGTAATTTCAACTGTAGCCTGTTTTTAAATTTCGATGTTTAGTGTATTTTCATAGAATTTATCCAGACTTATATTGCCTTGACATAATTTTTAAGTTTTTGAATTATTGTATATTAATAATTATCGCTATTATTTTAGATAGATAGATACATAGATAGATACACCATTATGCAAATTAATTGAAACACAACGAATAATTCCGCTATTATTATTTTTTTTCGTTCATTTTTCCCCAATGAACATGACGCAGTGTACATGTTAGCAAGTATGTAAGTATGTCTATTGACCGCAGATTCTCGATTGGATTGAAATTAAGAGAGTTTTCCGGGCCAATCTATAGTGCTTTGATTGGCTAACTGGTAAAACGTGACAGTTTGTTCGTGCAGAGTTACGATTTTCGTACGCTCCCTTGGAGTAATGCCCAACTCAGAAAATGGCCGTAGGACAACTAATCGACAGTCGAGACAATATATATATATATATATATATATATATATATATATATATATATATATATATATATATATATATATATATATATATATATAAGAGAGAGAGAGAGAGAAAGAGAGAGATAGATAGATGTAAACAGAATTAGCTAGCTTGATATATCAATACAATCTGTCTGAAGTTATTAAGCATATTGAAATTCAGATGTCATAACAAAGCCCGAGTTAAATTTTAAGTAGCATAAATATGTTTTATTGAAGCTATTTGATGTATTCTAAAAACTGCTGTCTGAATTTATTAGGGAAAAAACAATAATCAGATTTTACTTGATTAAAAATATTATAAATCCATCACAAATTGATCTACAATAGAACAAATAACAAACGCATAATAAGTCTTTGAATTCTTTACATTTTCATATAGTGAACCTTTCTTCTTAATGACATCCAGTAATCTATTATCCACTGATTTTGTTAATTTTTTTTTTTTTACTTCTGCAGATTCAATTTCAGAGATGGTAGTTTTAATTTCTTCATATAGGTCTAATTTGCTCTTATATTGTTTGCTACTTTCATATAATTTCATCTTCTCAATTGACTGCAGATTTATGATCAGATTCAGATTAGAACTTGATGGTGGATATTTCATTATCTTATCTCCTGCTAAAAAATGTACAGGTAAGCTTAGTTCCATGAGAAGGAGCATTGTCGTGCATAAATACACACTTCACTTTGAAACTGCGAGACTGGGACTTGTACCACGCAAAGACATCTTTTTCATAAAATCACAGTAGTAAGCACTGTTCTGTTTAACTCTTTCATCGTCTTTAAATGATCTAATAAAGGTTTGGTCGACAATTCCAGCCCATATGATGACACTACTTCTTACTTGTTGCCTTGTTTTAGGCACAGGCATGTCGGAAATGGATAAAAAATCTATCTGTTGGCCCTTCCATCAGGTCCATCAAATGTCACTCGCGATTCATCCATGAAAATTGCTTTAATTTCTTGGCGCAATTTTGACTCTTTAAAATATTTGCTGTAGTGAAACGTGGTTGTTTAGAAGGTCCCAATTCACAAAGTATTCTACACATTTTTTTTCTTCTTGAGTCCGCCAATTCCAGACTTTTCAAAGCGCTGGTCAAAAAATGGTTGTTTCGTTATAATTTGCGTTAATCCCAAGGAAGAAAGTTCTTAAAGCTTTTTCATTGGCTTTGAGTTCCTAATTGATATTTTCAAAAGCCTTCTTTATCGCTCGATGATCTCTACAATGCTCCTTTGATATCGCCAATGTAGACATTCCCTCACTCGGTAAAAGCAATTTTCTGTTTTTCAGCAGTTTTTAGATCCATTCCTTTACCCACGTTTCAATATATATTATGGACAAAAAGAAAAACAAATAGTCTTTATTAACTTTCAGAGGTCTTAAGTAAATATTAGTTTAAACTGGTTATTGACTTCAATCAGTCTATTTTCGTAAATTCTAAATATCACAAAAACTAATAATTAAAAATGGCAGTATATTATTTTATTATATATTATTTTACTAAGGGGGAATATAGACGAGTTTATATTTGACAAATAGTGGTTCAGGACTTTATGAGTTATTGAGATTTCTTTGATTTGCATAATCAATTCAGACAGACTGGTGCTAGATGTGAACAAAATTAGATAGATAGATAGATAGATAGATAGATAGATAGATAGATAGATTCAGTCTGTGGTAGAACGATAGCCAGATGTGAATAAACTGAGGTAGCTAAATCTGAATAGAACAGGATAGATAGATAGATAGATAGATAGATAGATAGATAGATAGATAGATAGATAGATAAAAACACAAGAACATTTGGAACAATGGACTAATAATTAAAATAAAAAATAATAAAAGAAAGAGAAAATATCTTTACTTCTCATTGCTTATTCACATGCGTAATCGCCATCGTCTCCTCTAAAACCAAAGCATTTCCCATGATATCTTTCCTATAGAATTTCTTTAGAATCCTTCAATGTGTCTTCTTTCTCGTAGATAACGTCTTGCATGAACAATGGATTTAATACGCTTGTTTAAAAGTAATATGTTAGTTTTACGTCACACTGCGCGTAAGAGATTCGTCGCCTGTTCCATCGGATAGTACATGTTCCTGATACAGGGATATATATTTTAAGTTTAACCATGAGAAAAAAAAAAGACAGATTTCTTCCTCATATATCATCCAAATTAATGAGAAAGTTTTAAGGGGAATAGGTAGTAAAAGGAACCTCATGTAATTAAAAAAAATTAAACATGCGAACTTTCTTGTATATATAATGAGAAAATAATGCTTGGAGAATTTAAATCTCACAGTATAATACGTTGAAGGTTTGACAAGCATTCGACAACGGTGAGTAACTTGAATGTATTTAAGTAAAGGGATGTTGGCTGCTTTGGTTTTTACAGCTTATCGACTCTTTGTTGGTTCTCTAAATCCGAAACATATTTCAAATTATCGGAATTTGCTTAGAATATCCGGTGATCTCAAACGTCATTCCTTGCAAGTAATGACCGGATTTGATACAGATTAAATTCAGATCGAATGAAAATAGGTTTTTTTCAGCGAAGTGAATGAATAGGAGAACAATGACGATATATGCTCGTAAAGATTAACTTACGACAAGTGAATAGAGAAAATTATGAAGAGACATGACCGTCAAAGTCCTGATGTGTTTGCTGGCAAAATTTTCTACAAATATTCCTGACTCTCTATTCGTTATAACAACAATAAAAAAAAACCTTGACAACCAACTAAATTAAGTTAAATAACTGTCCAGTTTCATTGACTTACAGTAAAGAAATAGTGTTATGCTACATCCCAAGCCACATAGGATTTACAGGAAACGACGAAGCAGATACAACCGCAAAATTTGCACAAAACGAAAGCCACGATAATAATATCACGATCCATTATACGAACCTAAAATGTAAAATAAACCGTTGCATTCAACATAAATGGCAAAATCGTTGGACCAATAAAACAAATAATAAACTTCTTACAAGCAACCGAATCTTAGGTCGATGGAAACAAATGTCTAGTGAAAGAGAAGAAAAAACAAACTAACGCTAACTCGACTACATATAGGCGCCACATGTCTCTATTCTTGCTTGCTGAAGAATGAAAATCAACCAACATGTACCTCATGCCAAGCTGCACTCGCGGTAAAACACATTTTAACTGAATGTATTAACTTCAACCCTGTTAGACAAAAATACTACAAAGAAAACAAGAGAAAACTATTGGAAAATACTGAAACCGTCAATATTATCTTTAAAAAACATGCTTATACCAAAACATATAACACCTACAATAGATAATCTACACAATATATATAATAAACATACGATTACCCTTGTATTTGGTGAACATATTTGGCATATTAACACAGAAACTAATATAAAATAACAAAATAGTAACACAGATTCAGTTTTCTATTAATGCTACAGCACAGATTGCAGCTGATACACTACGTGTAAACATTGATCGAAGTGCCGTTGAACTCAGGTGTCATTCAGACAAGTAAGTATGTTATGCGTATCAACTTCGCAATTTCATGATAATAATAACAGTTTAATGACACATAATGGCGGTTTATTGAATGCATAATATACATCATTTACTGACAGGCCTAAATTCGGGGCCATTGGTAGCCTACCGTATGTTTGAGGTTCAAACTCTACATTAGGTATAGGTCTAACTCAGAATTTTGAGCTTAAAACCTTGAGATCGACTTGTACGCTTGATCGACTTGTACTCAGCAATATATAGTAGTAATTTAAATTTATGACATGTCCATTTTTCCTGAACAAAATATAACTTTGCAGTAAGTGTAAATGAACAACTTTTTATCATATATTTCCCACCCAGTTGATTGATCAATTGATTCTATTTTGACGGTTTATCGACTCCTTACACGTTATTTAAAGCCAGTAAATATTTTTTTAGATTGCAATAGTTAATAATGATAATGATGTGATAAATTGTTACTAATTAACACGTAGCATGGGGGGAGAATATGTGGATTCATACGTTTCCCAAGGGTATTTACGCGTAACTGAACTCGACTCTCCATTTAAACACTCCGAGCCGTTATCAATCACACCAGAAGAACACCTAAGCTTACACCACTTGGTATTCCCAAGCGGTCACCCATCTAGGTACTGACCAGGCTCGACGTTGCTTAAGTGAGCCGGTGTTTCAATGTGATGTATCCGTAAGCCCCAGTTTGATACTCACTTATAAACGCGAGCTAAAATCTAACCAACTGACAAAAGAAATCCATCACTTCTCGGTCCGAATCACCTCGTACTTTACGGGAATGAATGATCCTATAGGCACTTCCCCATTAACGCCGTTAGAAAGGCATGAATGTATCACGTCTCTTCCCAGTTAAGGATTAATTAGCGGAATAAACTACACTATTTAGTGATGGGTGACTGTCAGTGTTAGAGAAGGAAGACACTAAATCAATAGAGAAGACAGCCAGTGACTTACGTACCGTATTTCTTCTGGTAGTTCACTGATACCTGGGAAGAATCTTGATCGTCCTGAAGGGATCGAAGGAACTAAAATCACGAAATATTACCTGGGGTTGCATAGCATTTTCTCTCATTCTATCTCTCTCTCTCTCTCTCTATCTCTCTCTCTCTATCTCTCTCTCTCTCTCTCTCTCACGCGCACACACACACATACACATGCAGGCATACACATACACATACATGCATACATGAGTTACATTCTTTAGTTCCACCAGTTAAGAACTTCTCAAGTAAGACTCGCATTGTTATGTACGGTGGTTCGAATCCTCCTCATTCCATTGTTAAGGATGAGTCCAGAGTCAGACAGTTTTTTCACTAGGGTATTATTATTGTTATTATTATTATTATTATTATTATTATTATTATATCAAACTCTTGAGGGGATGTTTCTCTATTCATTACGAACGTGGCCTCTTCCAGTCTCGGGTCAACTGTTGTCTATCCTACATATTCCTAACACATATATATATATATATATATATATATATATATATATATATATATATATATATATATAATAACCGTTAAAATGGACTACAACAAACAATCCAAAAATTAGACGAGAACATAGCTATAACTGCTATATAACGATAAAAATATACTACGTTACTCAAAAATCGAATAGAGTAAATATAAAATAAACAAATCAATAAAGAAGAAAAAAATAAGTAAAAATTAATCCAAATAAATAAATTAGCAAATCGCTCCCGCTAAAATAACCGTTAGAACAAATAAAAATAAACATAAATAAACAAAAACAAGTAAAAATAATGAATCTAAATAAACAAAATAATAAACAAATTAAAATCTGTTCCCCACCAAAACAGCAGAATAGACTACGGCAATCAATCAAAAAATTGGACGAATAAAGAGCTTTATCTTCCCAAATCAAAACCAACTATTAAATATGCGACCTAAACAAATCCTCCTACCCCCAAGTTTTTACTACTTTAATAAAACATCGAAAACTGAAAAGAATAAATATATAAAATAAAAAATGAAAACAAAAACCAATAAAAAAAATTAACCCACATAAATAAATAAACAAACATATATATATATATATATATATATATATATATATATATATATATATATATATATATATATAGTCGAAAAAAAATCCAATACATGCAGCCTGGCGATAGCGTCTGGTATGAAACAGCCTGTTGCCTCTGAGTGTTGACTTCAATGTTCATATATATATATATATATATATATATATATATATATATATATATATATATATAGGCACGGTGGAGTAATGGATAGCGGCTCGGATTGAGGAATCGGAGAGCAAATTTGTGGAACAAAGTTCAATAGTTCTCTTACAAAAATGAGTTGATTCAGCACAAAACCTTCACCACTATAATCAAATCATATGTGCAGATTGCCTGGCTTGAGGTTCTAAGGAACTGAGTTGCCTGATCCTTATACGTCGTAAAAGGATCGTCTGTAGAGGCGAGTCAACAGCTCGCGTCGGTCAACGACGGGAAAGTCTACGATATATAGGGAACAAAACCACTTAACCTAAGGAAGTGATCTAAACTAAACTATTTAGATAGGTACACTATTCTCTGTATTAAGAAGGCTGGTTTTACTTTTTGTTTTACAGGGTGCCAGCCATTGTGCACGCCCTGATTGTTTAGCCCCTAATCAGTCTATAACTCGCTGATTAGTATTTAATTTAAAAGTAAATTTAAAAACAATTTGGATTCAATATTTTAAAAAATAAATGACTGTTTTATGACTGCTACAATGTTTTTTTTTCTTTCTGATATGGTCACATTACCTAGCAAGTTTGCGGGAACACATAAGGCACGTAGTCGCGTGTTGTTATGGCTACATTTCATCATTTGTTTTTCTAACTCCCATATTATTATTAATATTATTTTTATTTTCTTTGATTTCTGGCGTTTACACATTTCTTTCCGGGTCCCGCCCAGGGACCTAAGGTTAGAAATTGCATCATGACACTTTCCACTGACAAAAAAAAAATATATTACACAGATAAAGCCCTTCGTAAAGTGTGGGCTGTACTTGCCAGATCAATTTTTTGTATCTCCTTGAGGAATGGACTTCCAGGAATCCCTGCAATCTTTTCCAACCAGTCCTAGGGCTCCAACTACAACAGGGATTGTTGATGTTCCCATATGCCACATATTCGAGATTTCTATTTCAAGGTCCTTGTATTTTGACAACTTTTTGAATATCTTCAAAGATACATTGCAGTCAACAGGGACTGCCATATCAATAAGGAGGCACTTTTTTTGTTTGTGGTCTTTAAAAACAATATCTGGGCGGTTGGCTTTGATTGTTCTGTCAGTGTGTATTGTGTAGTCCTGTATTGTGTAGTCACAGGTCCTATCTCCGTAACCGGGTCTGGTGGTGTTCATACCATTTTCTTTCAGATTCCTTGCCGTAGAAGTTGCAGATTTTCCAGTGCAGATATTGGCCCACTCTATCATGCCGGGTTTTATATTCAGTAGGTGTCAACATCGTGCAACCTGATACAAGATGATCAATCGTTTATGTATATTTATAACAGAATCTTCATTTTGGGCTGACACAATATTTTAGTATATGTGCTTGATAATTCCTAGTTAGCAAACATTGGTCATGTGCAGCAAGGATAAAACACTGCACTACGTAACCACTGATGAGTACGGGTTTTGTCTACGTCAGCTTGTTTGGTACGGGCAGAGTATTGGCCATGAAGCTGTTTATCTTGCCATCGCTTCTGTATCTGGTCGATTGCATTCGTCTTTGCTGTCTTTTTAAAGTATTTTGCAGTTTCAGCTGGTGTATTGTGCTGTACTTGCATCTCTACGCCCATTTGAAACTTCATTTTGAAATTGTTGGCTTCTTTTATTACGGAGTAAAAACGCTTACTACTTTCATGTTCCTTGACGCATACCATCATCCAGTCTTCTGTAGTTTCCAAATATCTTTGGAGGCCAATTGTTGTAGTTTTGTAGGACAGTTCTAGTTGAACTAATCATCTGCCTCCTTCGGATCTGGGCACATACAGACGATCAACATCAGCTTTGGGATGATGCATGTGGTAGGAAGTGAGAAGCTTTCTCGTTTTGGCGTCCATTCGCTTAATTTC